CTACTCGCTGTAAGGGTATCTGCCAGCCTTTGAGGCTGCCCGTTGTGTATTCACATTCAGCTGCCACACGGTTCTCTGCACTGTTTCTGAAATACCTGCAATGCTGTGGGTGCTGGAGAGCAAACGGAGGACGCTGCATAGCAGTTGGCTAGGAACAATTTGAAGAAAAGGCATGAATTGCCAGCTGCCTTTGACAGTTGTTTTTCTTTCTGAATATGGTATTTTGTCACTTGCCATCCATACCGCATTACAGAGCAGATTGTTGTTTACTTTCATATTCTGCTTTTAGAATTTTTGCAACCAGTAAGTGACTTATCAAGAAAATATGTTTATGTAGAAAATGAAGTGTCAAATTATCCACTGTTTCGATTACTTGGGTGGTTGTTATTTTTTTCCCATAATTGACTCCTCTGAAAAGTCTTTCTTCTCAGAGAGGCCGCTGCGTTGTCAATCGTGCCAAATTGGATGAGATTATGTGCTACAGTTTTGTGACAGAAACTGATATTCATTAGGAAGTTGTGATCACTGTAATAAATAGTAATGAAAAGGAGATGCACAGTTGTCTTTTCAAAACATGACAAGCATTCTCTTCTTTCCTCTTCTTTCAGTGACTGTCAATCTGCAGCTCCTTTCAATTACCACTTGTGTGTAGGGTGATTTCACTCTTCCATTGGCTAATCTTGTGGGTCTGTATATTCAACAGGAGGCATTTCTAATGTGTCCACTGCTTATGGAAGTGTTTTGACTTGGCAGAAGGAGGAGCAGAGAGGAAGGGAAAATTGGAAAAATGAAAGCAGATTCTTGGAGACTGCCTTGAGTTTTTTTCTTCTGTTGGCCAAAGTCAAAGCCTTGAGTGCTTATGCATTGGTTTGCTGGTGAGAGAAGTGGTTGCTTGCACACACTAGCACCTTACAACACTGCAATGACCATTCTCTCCCTGTTGTGCTTCTCAGCCATAATGTAAATGTTAATACTTTCACCTCAAAGACAACAAATTGTGGAGGTCAGCAGGTTAAGGGTGACAGTACCATATGAAGGCACAGCTCAGGCTTCTTTTCACTTCTCTCTAGCAAAATGCACACAAAAGTAATCAGGGTTCACATCTACTTGCTGTCTCTCCTGATTTACCTCAGTTAACCAGCCGAGGCAGTAAGTTAATTTTTCCTTGGGCATTGGTATTCAGGAAGCACTTTGGAGCTGTAACTAGGATCAGAGCGCTCTCATTTTAGTCATTATGTGCATATGTACTAAGAACTGAAATCTCTTCTATTGAGCCAGTGTATTTTGTCTTGCGTTGTTGCAGGCTTAACTGACATGCAGTCAGTCACTTTTTAAGCCACGGTAACCTTTCTGCGCCCCTTAGCTCAGAGACTCTTACCCTTTCCCGCTGAGATAACTGTATTAAAGCCAAAAGAACACAAAAGCATGGCAAGAAGAAACAACTGACTAGCAAGAGTGCTGCTTGCCCTGATGTTTGTGAGTGATAGATTTAAATCTATGCTTAACATGGTCTAGACTTCCAAGGCTGGACAGATAACACTCAGTACCATGAGTGCTGATTAGTGGGGGATCTTTTGGAATAGAAGCTGTATACTCTTCATGTACACAAATGATCTTGATGGCTTCTTTTGAAGGTTAGAGCAGTTCCTCCCTGTGTCAAGACCCAGGAAACGGCTTCATTTGCCATGCATAAATGTGCCGGTTGACTGCTACCGGTCTGTTCCTAGGAGATGGTTACATTTCATCAGCATCCTACAAAACACAGTTGTTAAAATTTCTTTTCTGACAAGAATGCTGAATTGCTCCAGTTGCTGTATTATTTTCACTCTGGAAATGTTCTCCTCAAGCCTGCTTTGAGCTAATGAAAAATAATAGTCAGCATCGTGCAGTTAGTTAAAAAGTTTTCCAAGATGGGTGTACAGATGACGCATTGTCTCATTGCTGTTATTGACAGAAATAATTGTATTGAGTCACTACCCATTTCAGCTGTAAACACTAAACTGGATTAAGTAGACTTTTCTCTCACTAAAGTCCTTTCCTATGCATTAATGGAATAAAATTTGAAATGGCAGCCATAATAAGTACCACCTTAATCCTCCTTTGCTTTCCTGCCTCTAGCTGTTTAGATCAGTCGCATGAAGGTCAATAGTAAAAGACTGTTAGTCCTTGCAATGATGCTGCTGGGAAGCAGCTTCATAGCAGCCATTCACTGACTTGTACCATCTTTTACCACTGGTGGTCCATGGGTAAAGGAAAAGGACAGCAGTCAACTCATTTCTTATTATTTCCTAGATGCTTTTATAGGCTCCATCATCACATTTCCTCCTTATTTATGGAAGTGATGCTGAAATACAGAGAGACTAATTCCTTGGTCACGGAAGAAGCTGAATCGTGTCCCCTGCAGTGCTCATGCAGCACCCCTGTGATAGCTGAGAAATAAGCAGCATGTGTGCTCTAGGCAAATCCCAGCTTGCTTTTGCCAAGAACATGAGCTCCACCCAAGATGTTGTCTGACTCCTTGTTCCAAAGACACTACCTTTTTTGTTAACTTGGATGTCAGTCTTAAAGGGTGGGCAGAAACTTTTCAAAATTAAGTGGAATTCTTCTGCCTCATTTTGGAAAAACAATGGTTGTATCTGGTTTTTGAGAAGAATATCTTCTGGACTTGTCTCAAGCTTAAGTGGTTTAATTATCAGCTGGTTAACCCCATTGACTCAAGTTGTTTTATAAAGAATTCCTGAGCTTTCCAAATAGCAGTGCCTCTATTTATATTCACCTCTGTACAACTGAGTGAAAGAGATTTTGAAAACATGTTGTGAGCGAGAGGATGGTGACTTCTCAACTGAGATGTAGAGCAGAGGTATTACAGGCCAAAACGCAGCTGCAAAAACTATAGGTCTTGGGCTTATCAGTCAGCGCCAAGGACAGGATGATATGAACGAGGTAATTTATTTTATGGTTTGAAGATGAAGAAGATGCAAAAAGTCAGTTTAACTGAAGCTACTTCAAGGGTTGAAGGTCTTTCACTTGGTAATCTAGCTTTACATGAGTGTACTGAATGATGGTCAATGCAAATACATGTTTAGCACACTGGGTGGTAGGGAGGGGAAGAGAGAGAGAGATTCATACTGTGTTATTCCCTAGCTACTTTATTTGATTTGAAAGGAAACTCCACCGTTTGCATTTTGCAGCAAGAAGGGTGTTTGAAATGACTTTATTTGCTTTATGCTGGTGTAAGCAGTTAGGAGAACTTTCTATGCCTCCCTAATGTGAGGATTTAGCCCTTAGTTTGACTTCTAGCTTTTTTTCCCATAACATCATGCAAAGTCAGAAATACATGCTCCCCTGCCCCCTTTGTAAGGACTTGAAATATTATTTTCAAAAGACCAGTTCAGACTGATTGCACACCAAACTGGATGCCAAATGGGACCTCACATGTGACACTAATCTGCCTCATTCACTTTGAAAAAGCAAATTCTTTGTGTGTTTTCCTTTTAAAGTC